ATTTGGACTTCAGCTTCCATAATTCCTGACTGTTGGCCAAGTTGGCTGGGACTTTTGGGAGCTAAGGTCCAAAACAAATGGAGGACCCATGGTTGGGAACCAGTCCAACCTGCTGCCATGCAGGAATATACAACGAACGCATTCGTGAAAGAGGCCCACCCAACCTCTGTTGAAGAAGGAGAGGGCCGCCATCCTCCGCGGAAATCTGCTCCACTCTGGAGCAGCTCTTACAGTCAAGAAGTTTCTTCCTAATATTTAGGTGGAATCTCTTTTCTTGGATATGTTGTTTTTCACTGGGTTGTGGGATGCTAATATTTCAGAAGGGCTGTGTTTCCAGAGAACATGCTCCCGCTGTGCATGCATGGAAAGATGTTTTTCTTGGGGAGCCTGGGCTAGAGACAAAGGGGGCTTGGATGTGTCAAACGCCAGGTTTTTGGGCAAAGACTGGGATTCTTCTCACTTGCCTCCTTCTGTTAACAGCGGCGTTGGCAGTATGCCTTCCAAATACGTTCAGTAGGGAGCTGAAAGGAAGGGAAGATGGCACGGCTAAAAGACAGAGAGCATACGGCTGGAATATTGTCACAGCCGTCGGCTTGGCTGGATGCCGAGCGTCACAACCTGGGGGAATATTTTCCCCTTCATATTGACAGTCTAATAACTTCAACATCAATATTAAAAACATATATATTCAGAAGAAAAAGGAGAAAGCAAAAAAGCAAAATGGATGCATTTTAGTGGAAGCCTTCCAGTGGCCTCTGGAAAGTTAAAAATATTTTTGTCTACTGATGCAGGGTTTACCTGACCTGGTTGTTTAGTTCACACATGTATATTGTTAGTTTTGACATTTAATAAATTGCTGAACTATGTTCAACTGCTGAGACACATTCTACCTACATGTTCACTTTTGCACTGTAGAAATGATGCAGTTTGAGACTGCTTTAACTGCTGCAGCTCCATACTGTCAAATTCTGGGAGTTGTAGGTTTGTGAGATATTTAGCTGCGTCTGTCAGAGAGCTCTGGTGCCACAATCTACAAATCCCAAGACTCAGCTGTAGGAGTTACAGATGATGTCGGAGGAAGAAGGAAGAAAATTTGAGAGAGAGAGAGAGAGAGATTAGATGTGAATCTGGTTTTGAAGAGGAACATAATAGATAGGAATGATAAAATAGGATATGGTATGAATGAAAGACTTTATGGATATTTGTTATAAGATTTTATGTAATTGTATTGTGTCTTGAATAAAGATATACAAATCCCAGGACTCCATACCATTGAGCCTTGGCAGTTAAAGCGGTGTCAGATCTGCATTATTTCTGCAGTGTGGATGAGACCTGAGATCTACCTGTATATATTCCACACTAGTGTAGCGTAGTGGTTAGAGCGTTGGACTATGACACGGGAGACAAGGGTTCAATTCCCAGTTTGACCATAAAACCCACTGGGTGACCTTTGGCAAATCACACGCTCTCAGCCTCAGGGAAAGGCAGTGGCAAACCTCCCCTGAACAAATCTTGCCAAGAAAACTCCATGATAGGTTCGCTTTAGAGTCACCATACGTCAGAAATGACTTGCAGGCGCACAACAACAACAAAGTGTAATGCTCACAGCAGTTTTAATCTGCTGTGTTTGTGTATTTGTGTCTGGGGGGGATGCTTTGGAAGAGACTGAAATGTGGGGAAATAGATCTTGTACATCTCCTTTTCTTTCCTCTCTGTCTGTCTCGCTTTCCTTTAATTCTTTTGGATGAATAGAAATGGTAAATAGGGTTACAAACTGGATTTTCTTAGTGTGACCGCTAACTTCCTTTCTCTTCTCTCTTCTCTCTTCCTCTTTCTCCCTCTTTCTCTCTCATTCTGGGCTTTCATCCACTGACCTGAAGAGCGGCAAGGGCCTTTGGAGATTATCTTTCCCAAAACCATCCAGAGGGCAAGAATGGTTCAGGTAAGAGGAATTCTGAAAATGCCATGGCGGGTTTCTTTCAGCTTGGGTGTGTTTGTGGTTTTGGTTTACATAAATGCTGGTCCATGTGCAAAGATGTGTTTGAATTTTATCACTATGTTTTTAGCTACTGGTAGTTTCGTTTTATTGTTTGTGCACTTCCTTCAGTTCCATACTGGGAGGAAGGTGGCATATCAATGCAAGAAATAAAATAGCTAAATACAGTGGGCCCTTGGTATCCGCTGGGGTTTGGTTCCAGGACCCTCCATAGATGTCAGAATCTTTGGATGCTCAAATCCCATTAAATACAATGGTGTAGTAAAATGGTGTCCCTTATACAAAGTGGCAAAAGCAAGGTTTGCTGTTTAGAATTTATACTTTCAAAAAATATTTTCAAGCTATGGATGCTTGAATCCGTGGATAAAGAATCCGTGGATATGGAGGGGCCACTGTATAAATAGTGTATGAATCCATGGATAAATATAGCAGACCCTTTGCTGGGGTTTGGTTCCAGGACCCCCCCCCCATGGATGCCAAAATCTATGGATGCTCAAGTCCCATTAAATGCAGTGGTGTAGTAAAATGGTGCCCTTTGTATAAAATGGCAAAATCAAGGTTTGCCATTTTGGAATTGGGGAGGGGGGAGTTGAATCCAGTATTAACTGATTGAAATTCACTGTTGTTACTTTACAAACATAAATTGCATTATTTACCAAGCATCCTTTCTTTGATTCACAAGAAAGATTGCCCTTTCCCCAAAACTGGGACTTAGAGCAGCTACAAGATTAAAAACAGTACAATTAAAAACATGTCAAAAAGTTTACATTAAAACAGAATTCATTTATTACACTATTAAAACAGATTGCATGTAAAAAGAATAAAGTTATGCATTGTAGCTTCTGATGCAAAATCTCGGCCAAGATTTCTAATTTCTGGCGACAGTCCCTCCCTCTCTTTTCCTGATCATGTCCACAGTGCAGAGGTCTATATGAATGTTGCTTGTCCTTGTTTCAGATCACTTGCTGGCGGAATCCTACATCGGACAGGAAGACTCTCCCGAAATGCACCAGGCGACCCAGAACAAACGCCGGCTGTCGCTCATTTCCGATGGCAAGTTTGAGCGGAGCTTTTCAGAAGATCACAGCGAGAAGATGATGGGCGAGGGTCCCAAGCCACGCGTCTATACCATCTCTGGGGAGAGGCCCATGCTTTCCCAGCACCAAAGCGAGAGCATGGAGTTGGTGGTCATCAAAGGATCGGGACAAGAGGAGGAAGAGGAGGTAGAAGAAGAGGAGGAAGAACATTGCTCTCAGGGCCAGCCGCTACAGAACGGGGGCAGTTCCCACAACATCAACAGGCATTGCAAAGGGAGCTGGGCCAGTAGCCGCCAGGTTTCCAAGGATTGTCCTGACTGTGTCCAGTTGGCCACACCTTCTCAGCCCACTTTCGATCTGGAGCATCACCATCATCACCATCACCATCACCACCATCACCAGACGGGAGAGACTGGCTGGCGCCGGAAAAAGCTGGAGAGGATGTATAGCATCGATCGTGTCACAGGTGGGTGCTGAACGCGGAAGGTGTAGTGTTAGCTGGATCAGAAGTCTGCCCTGCCTACTCTTCTGTCTCCCGTAGTGGGCAACCAGATGAACTCACTGTCGTGAACAGTGTTTTTATAGTCTATTTGCTATGCTGTATTTGGGGCCAGCGTGGCGTAGTGGTTTGAGTGTGTGACTACAACTCTGGAGACCAGGGTTCGATTCCCACCTCAGCCATGCAACCCACTGGGTCACCTTGGGCAAGTCACAGGCTCTCAGCCTCGAGGAAGATAATGGCAAACCTCCTCTGAACAAATCTTGCCAAGAAAACCTCATGATAGGTTCTCTTTGGGGTCACCATAAGTGAAAAATGACTTGAAGGCAGACAACAACAACAACAAATGTTGTATTTAATGGGCTAAATACCTTAAAGGCACACCATTCCCTTAGATCTTGGAAGCTAAGCAGCAGCATCCCTGATTAATGCAGTGGGCACTTGGTATCCGCTGGCATTTGGTTGCAGGACCCCCCATGGATACCAAAATCTTTGGATGCAAAAGTCCCATTAAATTCAGTGGGGAAATAAAATGGTGTCCCATATCTAAAATGGGAAAATCAAGGTTTGCTTTTTGGAATTACTGTTTTTTAAATCTTTTCGAGCCATGGATGATTGAATTCATAGGTGCGGAATCTGTGGATATGGAGGGCCAACTTTACTTGGGTGGGAGATTGCCAATGAATATTTCAGAGGAAGGAACTGGGAAAACCACTTCTATGTATTCCTTGCCTAGGAAAACCCTAGGAAATTCATGAGGTTGCCATAAGCAAGATTTATGCAAAGCCATTGCCTTCTTCTGAAGCTCTGACTTGCCCAAAGTCATCCAGTGGCTTTCCATGGCTGGGATTTGAACCTTGGTCTCACACAGCTTCCAGTTCTAAAACCACTATATTATCTTGCTTCAGCTGTTGAATGTACTGCTGCTTAATTATATTTGATGACATGTCTCTCCAATACTGGGATGAAAAGGAGGACACTATGTGTGATTTTAAGAACTTGGATCATGTCCCACCATTACGGGGTGCATCTGCACTGGAGAAATAATGCAATTTGACACCACTTTAACTGCCATTGCTCCATCCTACAGAATCCTGGGATTTATAGTTTGGTGAAGCACCTGCACTCTTTGGCAGAGAAGGCTAAAGGCCTTGTAAAACGACAAATCCCAGGATTCTATAGGATGGAGCTATAGCACTTAAAGTAGTATCAAACTGCATTATTTCTGCAGTGTAGATGCACTTTAGGACTGAATTATCTTGGTTTAGTCTTTTAGGCATTCAGAGCTGTAATTTAGTTCCTTTTTCTTCCAGATGAAGTTCCTATCAGGACCTGGTTTCCCAAAGAGAACCTCTTTACTTTCCAAACCGCTACAACAACTATGCAAGCGTAAGTGAAATGCTAATAATACTGGCACCCATTCCCACTTAGATTTAAATCGGTTTGCAATTTGCATTGACACCGGGTCTTGGATTTGATTCAGGCTGATGCATTGTTCCCACTATGGAAGCGAATTATTTCTTTATTCCATGTCATTCCCACTAGTGGGAATGAGCCGAGGCAGGAAGAGCCCAGTGGAGCCGGGAAAGGTAGGCATCCTGCGAGAGGAAGAAGGTCCGGTGAGGTGGCAGCAGGAGGAGGAGGAGGAGGACGGGGCACCCAGGGCCCTCCTCCTTTGCCCGGCTGCCTGGAAGAGAGGAAGGGGCACACAGGCAACAGAGGACCCTGGGCTCCTGTAAGCCGCCTCCTGGCAATGGCAACAGCTCCTGCCTCCCTCCCTGCCTGCCTGCCTGCCTTCCTTGCTCCGAATGGGTGCCCTTTCAACCCCAGCCAGGCTGGGCGAGGGTACCCAGGGCTCCTTTCTGTGCCTCAAACCCAGGTGGGTTGAGGGGGTCCCTTGGCCAAGGGGCGCCAGAGGAGGGTCCCCCGTCTCTCCTCCTCCTCTTCCTTCTTCTTCTCTGTGGTTGGCAGCGAGGCTAGTGCCGCATTCCCCGGGAGTCCTCCTCCGCCGCCTTCCTCACCTTCCACTGCAAAGATGTGCCCCCAAAGTGGCCAAACCAGGAGGAGGATGGGGCACCTGGGGTCCTCCTCTTTTGCCTGGCGGAAAGGAAGGGGCACACAGGCAATGGAGGCCGAGCAGCTGAGCGGCCCCGACTCCCCCTGAGTCCCCTCATTCACTCTCTCACACTCACCTCCTACCTATAGTCCCTTCCCTCCACTGGAATGTGGATCAGATCTGTCATTCACACTCGTTGAACATGTTTGCAAATCGGTTCTTTTCAAAAGAACTGACAAATGATCAGTCTTTGGAAAGAGTGATTTTTTTTGCATTTGTCTTCCTTCACTGAGATTGAAACCGAGCGCAGTCGGTTTGGAAACCGTGTGAACGAGGCACATATAATCTGATCATCAAATTGCTTTAAATCATAGTGGGAATGAGGCCCCAAGGTCTGTTAAGAGTTGCAAACAAGATCTGCATTACCCTTTCATTCTCTTTATGAGCTACAAAGCAATTGTTTTATAACATCATCACAGTGGCTTTCTCTGCAGCAGCCCTTTGCTCTGCAGTTTATTCATGTTTATATATAGGGTGAGTATCCCTTACCTGGAAATCCAAAATACTCCAAAATCCAAAATTGTCCATGTGGTTGGCTGAGACAGTGACACCTTTGCTTACTGAGTTCAGTGCACAAACCTTGTTTCATACACAAAACTATTAAAAATGCTGTTTATACAATTACCTCAAGGCTATATTATCTATAAGGTGTATACAAAACATAAATGAATTTCGTGTTTAGACTTTGGTCCTGTCTCCAAGAGATAACATTATGTATGTTATGCAAGTATTCCAAAATCTGAAAAATTCCAAAACATTTCTGGTCCCAAGCATTTTGGATA